TATATAAATAAATAAATACTTTCATAGAAAAACATTATTATTTTTTTAATTTCCAACTTTTTCTATATATTTGTATTATATATATATATATATATATATATATATATATATATATTGTATTATATATATATATATATAGTTTATCAAAAAATAGGTAATCCGTATGGGTAAACCTAAGGAGGATAAAATCCAAAGAGCTGAATGTAAATCCAGAGCAAATAATTTAAATAAAAACAGACCACTTTAAGGTCCCATGTAATAAATTATTTTACCACAGCCCTTTTAAAGGACTGCGGATCATCAGACTTTACTTCCAAACAAAAAGACATATACATATATATATATATATATATATATATAGAGAGAGAGAGATTGATATATAATGAACAAACTGACATAGATAGATAAAAATCTGACTTTTTGTAATCCAAAGCCAAACACTCTTACAATTTTCTGGTGACCATTATTTTTGGCAGGCTTTCTAACTTAGAGAAATCTTTCAGGTCTTCCCTTTTATAATTTTTATCTCGACTTAGAATTTTAATGCAGCCTTGATATAAGCTGTTGTGAAATGTACAAACTACTAATCTGTACAAGAAGTACAATAAAGCTATTTATAAAAGTGTTGTTTTTTTTAAATTTTGGTACCCAATTCCATTGTCTTGTGATAATTGTAAAAAAAAGTGGTCCCCTGGGGTTATGGTAAGTGGTGCACAGCAAGTCTTTGAGTTAGATATTGCTACTTGTTTACATTTTATACCCAGCAGATAGGTCAAATCTGGGTCTGGAAGAGTTTATCATTTTTTTTCTTTTTAAATCACTCAAATGTCAACTTTTTTCCTGTAGCTATTAGTAAATCTATTTATTTGAAAGAAAATGGAAGCATCTTTAATTGACAACAATTTAAAAAATATTTCTATTTCTTCACATCTAGAATTTTCCTTTTTCGATCTTTTCCCATCCACTTGTGTTCTTTTGACAAATGACTAACTTTATAGTTAGCTACTCATTTTCTCAGCACACCTGTCTACTAGGGTGGCTAATCAATCTCTGTTGCCGAGTTCTCTATTTCTAGGATAGCACATTTGTAGATATAAAGAGCGTTGACATAGTAATCATCAGTAAGTGATCATTAGACCATGTCTGACATGGTCCAATAATCAATTGAGGCAGAAAGTTGGTAGTTACCATGCCATGTTGATTTCTATAAACATATTGCTTATATATTTATTTACACTGAAAACATGTAAAATTGCTACACAATTGCAGTTGTGTTTCAACACATATCAATACATCTCATCAGGCAATTGTAAATTACTGGTGAATAAATGATTTATTTGAATTTAAAAGCAAAATACAACCTCTTTTTTCGAAAAAAATGTTAACATATCTTGTCCTTCACCAGTCGTACTTACAGAAATAATACATCACTTTCTGAATATTTTTGGAGTTTAAAAGATAAGACTCCTAAGGTGAAATGGAAAATTTTAAAAAAGAAAGGACATGTAGATCTTTATATGAACCCTGTTTTCTGTGCTTACATGAAAAATTGGAAATTATCAGATTTAATGAAAATTCCTTATTAAATCAAAGAAATGAATTAACAGTAAATTGTAAACATAGTTTACCTTTTACCTTACAATTTAGTTAAACTTTGGAATTTGATTATACTTTTTCTTATATTTTTAGTTGTATTGCATTGCACCATATATGGCTTATCTTTCTATTCGTAAGATTAATTTGGACTTAATATAAATTTGTATTAATCTCGTAGTAGTATTAGTAACATCTTGTATGAATGTATTGGTATTTTTGACATTTACATTGATTGGTTAGTGTTATTAACATCTTATATGAATAATTTTTATTCAACAGTTGCATATTAATTTATCAAATAATTCTATACGTTTAACTTATTTACTAGTTTCTTAAAGAAGCCATTTATTTATCAACTACAAAGAAAGTTTTATGTAGGAAATTTACAACGCATATCATTTGTTTGGCATTTAGTTAAATTACCCCTCTACCCAGCCTTTTATTTCTGAGGAAAATGGATTGTCTGGTTTGTATATTTTATGTAACCATATGTATCAGCTTTAAGTTAATGTCTGGCTGCTGTTAGCTGTCAATCTTTTAAAATTTTTAATTTTTGATTCTTCGCTTAGTTTAAATTTAACATAAGTTATATTTGATTTGTTGATCAGGGTAAAACCCTCAAGCCTTATAACCGTTTTTTTTTCTCAACAAAAAGAGGTTGTATTTTGCCATTAAATCCAAATAAATCTTTTACTCACTAGTAATTTACAATCACTTGATGAGACACATTTATATGCGTTGAAACATCATTGCAATTGTGTAGCAATTTTACATGTTTTTACATGTGTTTCAACAATCATTGAAGTGAGGAGGGCTTGCCTGTCATGAAAAGCAACATTTAAAATTGTTTTCAAATACTGAAATCCAACAATTGCCACTCAGGATAAATACATGACACACTTATCTACTGAGTGAAAAGCTTCAGAGACATGAACAAAGTGAGAAAGAGTGAGTGGTAAAAAAAAAGAGGAGGAGGAAGAGGAGAAAGAGTGAAAAAGAGTGAGTGGAGGAGAAAGAGTGAAAAAGAGTGAGTGGAGGAGAAAGAGTGAAAAAGAGTGAGTGGAGGAGAAAGAGTGAAAAAGAGTGAGTGGATGAGAAAGAGTGAAAAAGAGTGAGTGGAGGAGAAAGAGTGAAAAAGAGTGAGTGGAGGAGAAAGAGTGAAAAAGAGTGAGTGGAGGAAAAAGAGTGAGTGGAGGAGAAAGAGTGAAAAAGAGTGAGTGGAGGAAAAAGAGTGAGTGGAGGAAAAAGAGTGAGTGGAGGAGAAAGAGTGAGTGGAGGAGAAAGAGTGAGTGGAGGAGAAAGAGTGGGTGAAGAAGCGGAGGAGAAAGAGTGGGTGAAGAAGCGGAGGAGAAAGAGTGGGTGAAGAAGCGGAGGAGGAGAGAAAACCAGGAGAAAGAGAGTTAAGTGATATTGATTTCTGAACTAATTAAATCATAGTTAGTGACTAGATAGTTTTCTCTGAGTTTTACCAACACTAATAACCTTCACAACAACACAGTTGACAATCTTTATATTATTAACTTCAGAAATATATTTCAATTTGATATTTTAATGAATTTTATTAAAATACATTTACATCATAAAACATTGAACAGATCTCAAAGCAAAAGTATTGTTATTTTTTGGTCACTAACAACTTACTCAACATAAACTCTTCAGCTATGGATTAAATAGTAAGGTAGACTGGGTTCTCTAACCTTGGGTAGAAATCACTCTCTGAGAAGGAAAACTCTGAATTCCAAATAATGGAGAAGCTAAAGGGAAATCATTTCACATTCTTTCCCAAGAATGTGTGACAATTCACAGATAATAAAGAGAAGTGAATCTGTTGAGAGCCATGATCACCCATGTCTCGAAGGAACAAAAAAGGGTTTTAATGAAAAGAAGATTAATGAAATTCAAATTTGAGTAAACATAGACCTTTGTCTCTGCAGGATACTGTTTCAAAAGGAAGATTTTAATACTGACATTGCTATTATTTTAATTATGTTCATTCCCTTGGCAATATTTATTAACAATATTATAAAAGATTCATTTACCATTTTATAAAGGAATAAATGTGAAAATAAATCTTTTTATTAAAAACTTTAAAAAACTTAAAAAAAAATTATTAAAATATGTAAACTGCCTACAATGCAATAAGTTTTAAAATATCGACTAATTGCCAATTTTAGTTTAATCTTCACTTCCTCAGCAATGTTTGTTGTTTTTAAAAAGCAGTGATTAGAATTTTAATAAACCCCCAAAATATGAAATTGAATTTATACATTTTCCTTGTTCTTGAGAATTTACAACAAAAATATTACACACTATTTATTAGATTGTTTATTTACAAGAATAAATTTATATTTACAACATTCTTAAAAATATGAACCAACTTGTACAATGCTTATCGTTTACCAATTTATAAAGAAACAAATATGAAAATCATTTTTTTAAATTTTTTAATAAAAATATCTTTTCACATTTATTTCTTTATAAAATGATAAATCTTTATACAAAGTAAATAAGTTTTTTATAATCTTGTAGACAGACATTGCTGAGGGAATGAACATAGTTAAAATAATAGTGGAATCAATGGAAAAAATCATCCTTATGAAAACATTTTTTTTTGCGGGCATTGGGGTCCAGGTTTGTTCAGGTTTTGTCTGTGGCAACCACTTTTGCAGAAATTCCCTTAGGGAAATTCATCTCTCTTCTTTTCCTTGCTATGTGTTAAGTAGTAGGGTAGACTAGGCTTCTTACCTTTATGTGGTGACTAGCCTATGAGAAGGATAAATCTTAATTCCAAATCATGAAAAAAGCAACAGGAAACCACTTCACCATCTTTCCCAAGATTTATGGCAGTTAACAGATCATAAAGAAAATGAATCTATAGAGAACGATGATTGCATACATCCTAAAGAGACAAGAAAAAGCTGAATTCAAAACCATACAGAAAGCAATGGGAAACTACTCCTCTATCTTTCCCAAGAAGGCATGACAATCTACAGATAATAAAGAAAAGGAATCTGTGAAGAGTCATGATCATGTTGGTCTTGCCATATTATTTGAAAATGAAAGATTATAACCTGGTGCTTGTTCTTTGCTTCTCTTTTATCATTCTCTTCACCTTTAATGCCAAAATACTTCTGCTGACTGGCATCAGCCAAAAACAGAATAATGGGGATTCTCTAGAAATTAAAAAGTGTTGCTGGATAGCAGGTATTAGTCATGATAGTGGGCTAAAAAAAAAAAAAAATGGAGACAAAGAGTGAAATTCAAAAAGGGGAACTTTATCTAATTCAAGTTGTTTGGCACTTAACAGGTAAAGTTGTGAAAGTGCTAATTAAAATCTTTTGGTGATAAAGGTGATCATGTATTTCTTCTGTTAAAAGTGGAGCTGAGAAAAGCAATTAATTAAGCGCAAAATAAATCCAAATAGTAGTTTTAATCCATTCCCAAAAGATTTAATTAATGATTTTTTTTGACTGGTATTTCTTTTAATTTCACTTTCATTTTGTCGAAACTTTCAGACTGTTCTTCTGCAAGCATTCATAAACAATACAGAAAATTAATAATAAGATTCTGGATTTTGACACAGCTTGTATTTCATTTAAGAAATTCACAGAAGAATCTTTAGGAAATTGTTCATTATAGTCACAGTTTTAGCAAGTAGTTATTGTTTTCAAAATAAGTCAATCTCAAATACTCCATTGAAAATTAATTAAAACATAATTTCAAATCATATTTTTATAACATAAATTTATATATAACAATAAATTTTATATGAATGAATATAAACTGTTCCAATTTTTTATCTTTGCTTAATTTTTTTATGTTAAAGCAAAGTAATAAAAGATTGTGAGTCACTCTGGAGCAGTGTTTCTCAACCTTTTTACCCTTGTGTAACCCTTAAAATAAATTACATGTCTCAAGGAACCTCTGTGCAAAAACAAAATTATATACCATATCTTTCTCATTTTATTTTCATTGTAGATCATGTGGTAAATATCATAGGATATATTTTTGAATAACTGGTTTAAGGAAAAATTAATACTTCTTTGTCAAATTTTTCTGTTAATGCTAAATAAAATTCATACTGTTTGTTTATAATACTTCCTCAGGGAGTTTTCATTCAAACAAAAAAATTCTAAACTCAAATGTAAAAAATAAATATAAGTAATCAATATCATATACCTATAATATAAATGTAAACAAAACAAAAACAGATAATTGCTGCATCAGTTTTTTTTTTAATTTTTTTATCCTTTAATGGCAATGTTGAAAAGACATAAGGTAAATCAAAGCAAAATGTCCTGTGAACCAATAAATAGGTTGAGTAAATGTTACTTTCAGTGCCATTTGATAAAGTGAAACATGCTTCTCTAATGTCTCTGTTTTTGCTACACAAATACTTAATTCGTGGTCAAACTTTAGGTAAACACACACGGATTTCATTCTCAATTGAGAGATGATTTATGGTGTGTGTTTAGTAATGTTATGTATATGAAATTAAATAAAAAATCAAAAATGCATTAGCTTATCTCACCTGTTCTAGCAGAACCCTTGGTGACCTTCTGGGGAACCCTGGTTGAGAAATGCTGCTCTTGAGGGTTACAGTTGACAAAATGGTAATGTGGAACGAAGTGTATGTTATAAATGGAAGAGAAGTAGGTAAGAAATAAAGATTCTAAGGATAGGGAGGAAAGACAAAGATTGACCCTTCATTTGAAGAAGATAAGATAGAAATAAAGATTCTAAGGATAGGGAGGAAAGACAAAGATTGACCCTTCATTTGAAGAAGATAAGATAGAAATGTTAGGAAAGTCACTATGTGGGAGTCTGTTCCACAAACTTGCAGTTCTTGGGGAAAAATCAGTCTCAGTGGAACTTTCATTTTACATTTGGGACACAGAGGAAATGGTTTGGTTTGGTTCGGTTTGTTTTCCAGCATATCAACCTCAATGGGTTATTTAATGTCGACAAGATTTTTATTGCTGGTAATATTTTTCTTCGAAAATGTATTGCTAGTAATTTCCTCAAAAAATTTATTGCTGGTATTAAAACCTATTTTTACACTTTCATAGTGTTTTGTCACCAGTTTGGGGGTTAACTATTAGCCCATATTTGGGACCCTAACAGGTGTTACCCCCTCCAGGTCAGGGTGGACCTGGGAACACCAGCAAATAAAAGGTGGTTCCATGTTCCTCAAAACCTCCTGATCAGAGGCTTTAATGTTGTATGTAGTTTATTGTCTTATCCAGGATGCACAGAGGAAATGAAGGTGATTCATCTCCGCAGAAGTGGCAAGCTGAGTCCTAGCTGTAAAGGTCTAAACTGGTGAGAATAGAGAATGAAGTTCATCTGAACATCTGCCATATACCATTTTTGCTTTAAATGCACTCCTATTTTAAAGGCATATTTTGTGGAAAAAGATTTTATTATGTTTATTATGTTTATTGAAATATATTTTAACCCCTAGGAGATGGAGCATCATTTGGAGTTTCAGTGCCAAGAAGACAGAGCCCTTTTCACAAGCACTCACTTGGAACGCAAAAAAAAATTGATATAAAATCACAGAACACAGGAATCTATCATAGAAACTGCCATTGAAAGGCCCAGATATGTAAGAAATGCAAAAAGCAATTTGATTGGCTGGTACAAAGACCAGCCAGCTAGTCTTGAGGCTTGTATTATCAGGTGAATCGGCCCAGTCGATGTCATCATTCGACTTTTCCGATGATAAATCAGCCCTGTCGTCTCCTGAGGGTTAAAGTTTTGTAAGGGAAAAACGTATGATTTTGTGCTTGCAAATACAATATTGTAACAGTCAACTGTATTGAAGTATAGAATCATATATTGTAACTTTAACCTTCAGAGGAAACTAAATTAAAATTGCCAAAGCAGAAAAGAAATATTGGTATATTTTTATTCTATTAGTTACGGTACATATAAACAAAGCAAACAGATATAAAGCAATCGGTAAAGTACAATAAATGTGACTTAATTCTTATAGATAATTAGAGTACGTGCAGACAAAGCAAAATATTTCACTGAATATGACCAGTAGTATGCAAAGTTCTGGGTATGATGATAAACTACATCCAGCAGCAAGACATCTGATTGGAAGATTGGAGATTTTGAGGAGTGTGGAACCAACTCTTAATTGCTATTGTCCTCACGTCCACTTTGACTTGAGGTGATAGCACATGTTAGGGTCCCAGCTATGGGCAAATAGTGAACCTCTAAACTAAAACAAAACAGTATGAAAGTACAAAAATACATTTTTATAGTAAAAATACCAGCAATGTATATTTATAGTAAAAACACCAGCAATATATTTTTATAGTAAAACGATATTAGACTCAGGACAGTTTTTTGTACATTTTAAAAAAAATGCATGTTACACAAATGCAAACATGGTAAATAGTAATAAAATA